CACGAGTCAAGAGCGGAAGAAAGAGACAAAGAGGCTGGTGGTTAATGTAGATCTAGCAATAATTATAACTATAATTAGACCTATGGTTGCTTGCTTACCAAATCACTTCACTTCAACGTTACATCCAATTCTGGATGACAGTGACATCATTCTAACGCATCCGCTTTGAACAAAAACCCGATAAGATTCCGGATATCCTGAGAGCTGGCGTGAACGAGAGCATCACTCCCACACAAGAGCACACACAAACACACACACAAATCCATAAATCCACTTCGGTGTATCAGTATCGGTAGAATCAGGCAGGCTCCTCACGACTAGAAAGAAATTAAACTCTGCAGTCAACAGCAATATTTAATTAAGAAACACACTCATTTTATGCATAGTGTAATTAACACTGAATAAATACGCACGTGAAAATGGATCTAATGTGTAGAATCCGTATCAAATGACTGGCATTATTATAATAATCGAAAGCACATATTCTAGAGAATATTGATCACACTAGGTAAAGCTCCTGAGAAAGCGCCTCTCCTAGACTGTCCAGATTCTCGCTCAAGAGTGAGGAGGGGATAAATAGGCATGTTCCGACATAAAGCAACAGCGAGCGTTTAGCCTGTGCGTGACATGGGGTGGCCAATGAAGATGCACAACGGGTCTCTGGCAGTGCTTCAAGGAAAAGTGTGAGTTCCGACAAAAAAATGGCAACGGTCTAAAGAGGATCTAGGGTGGGCAGAAAAAAATAACCCAGAAAGAAAAGGGAGGGGAATGGAGAAGGGGGAAATTGGAAAAATCCGATTATCCGGTTTTTATCTGAAGTAGATATCAAACGTTCTTAAGCTAGCAATCCGGATCGCAAAGAGGGTATGTTTTAGTTTTAAATTGTTTTTACTTTTTTGTTTTTTGTTGGAGCTTTTTTGTGTTTAGATGGGGAAAGGGGGAGGGGGTCACAAAAGGGGCATCTGGGCTATTTTAGATGGGTTCTGAATCTCTGTTAGATTGGTTTTGATTTACCTTTAGCATAGGGACAAGTACTCTACAGCCAGCTTTCCCATTTTCCACGAACATTGGGGTGGAATTTGTCCGGTTTTTTTAGCAATGAGTTGCATTTTTCTCATGTTCAAACATTTTTTGCCCTTGGCATATTGATAGCTGGATCGCGGGGTGGATGGCCGTGGATCAAATCTCCCACTCACACATACACGCACACACACACACACACACACACACACACACACACACACACAAACATACATACACACCCACATAAACACACGCACACACTCCCACACACACACATAAAGACATTATATTCACACACACACACACACACACACACACACACACACACACACACACACACACTTACAGACATTCATATGCACATAAGCCTACACACACGTACAACACACACACAGACACACACACGCTCGCACGCACGCACGCACGCACGCACGCACGCATGCATGCACGCACACACACACACACACACACATGGGCGCACTCACTTCGTCTTCCTTTACGAGCTTAACGTCCAAATGTCTATGGGCTCATTTTTATAATATCATACAATCTAAACGGGATTGTGAGTCAGTATTGGTTTAAACCGGGTAAAATGTTCATTCCAGATTCGGTTTGTAAAGGAATGGGTGTTAGCACAGCCCTTGTAACGTTTCTGTCGTTCACTGTCCTCGCGCGCGTGCGGTGCCATGTCAACTATTTTGGTCCGTCGAGTAATGAAGTTCCTTCAAGCTGCGCGCTGCTAACGACGATCTTCAAAAGTATGGTATCACAATTAGACAAATATGACTTTTTAAAAAAGTGGCCGTCTCAGACAGGTGGCAGTCTTACACAGTGTCATGGAAAATACATAAGGGAGGAACTGGGGACTGGCCGTTTATACAGGTGACCGCAAAAACAAGTTCAACTGTTACTATCCACGATTATTGACATCTATGAGAAAGCGATTAGGCACTTTGCTCTCACGTGCAGAAAAACCCTTGTTCGATTCTCGAGTGGGGAGAACATTTTTATTGAGTATCTCGGTTTTTCTGCAGGGATGTTGTATCGCCACCTCTCAGCCCGGGTTGGTTCTGACTGGCAGGGTCAGAAGCCCCCGTTCATAATCATCAAGTGCCAGATCTGCGACAGACATAGGTGATCATGGTTCTCCATTCATTCCTTTGCTCGGACAGTATTAAAAAAGCTACGTTTCCCTGATCTTTCACTGTTACACATTAATTTGTTTAAGTTCCTTAAGTAGGTTTCTACTTCCATCGCCGAGATTTTTCGAAGTCTATCGTCTTCCTAAGCGATTTTCGTACCAGGTGTTTGAGATCATGAAATTATTTTCCCTGCACCAACGGGTTCATTCTCTTTACCCAGTCCCCATGACCCAACTATACCTTCTATACGTGTACTTCCTACTTTGGCATTAAAGTCCTCCATGACTAACTCTACATCTTGTGATTTTAACTGTTTCATTGCCTTATCAAAGTCTTCATTAAAAAGTCTTCATTTCCTCGTTGTCGTGATCTGACGTTGGTGCATACATTTGGATGACACTTTTATCAAAAGGTTGTCCTTCTAAATTAGCCACGATGACTCTACTCGACACTCCCCAAAATCTTTGATGCTTTTTGCTGTTGTTTCGTCAAATACAATTTCGACTCACCTTTCATGGTTTTTTCCCCTCCTGAATATACCATGTTTATTATTTTAAGTCCTCTTTTAATCAAGCCTGCCCCCTCCCATCTAACTTCTGAAATGCCTGACATATTTAGCTCAATCCTATTACCATCCATTTCCTGCTCTATATTATCTAATTTGCCTTTCTGGTACTTTGTTCTCACATTCCATGTAACTATTGTTAAAAACAAAGTACATTGATGAGCCTGTCCCCGTGGTTATATGCACCCCGCATAATTTAGCAAAATTGGATCTTTTTTGCATAATTTCTGATTATTTTCCTTTATCATTCTTTGTTAAAATTAACAGAATCGCATAATTTCATTTTTTTGGGTTCATTTTGCATAATTTCAGAATTTTTCTTGCATGAAACGACGGGGACAGGATGTACGGGAATTCAAGTTGTTCAATCACTGTCATTTTTATTCCATCAAATATTTTTTTTCGATCTGTGTGCGTGTGTGTGGGGAGGGGGTGGAGGGATGCACGAGTGTGTGTGTGTGTGTGTGT